TTAAATAGACATGTACAACTGCTCCTGTGAAGATTCCAAGTGAAGTGATCTGACTCGAAGCTCCCTCATTAGCGGCAATCATTTCCGTGTTAATCTCTTGGACAAACTGGCCTGATGCATTACTTTTCTTTAACCATTCTCACAGAGCTCAGAAAGTCAAGATGATGACAAAGAGACCAATAACAATATTACCAGTGAAATGGAAGATGGACTGATGCCATCTCCTGGATCTTCTTCTGAAAGTCCTAAAGAGGCAAGGCTTTGTTAGATAACTTAGGCTTCGTCCACACTACACCGGAGGGATTTGAAAACGGAGGTTTCACTCTGAACACACATCAAATGTATTCCGTACACACTACGCCGGAGAATTTAAAAACGCAGCAATCACCGGTCATTTTGGATTTGTGTTTAAAAAATATCGAGCAAGGAAATCACATGACTATCGTGGGGTCATCGTTTTCAAAAAGCTCCGTTTTCAAATGTCTTCTGTCCACATGAAAACGAAAAGCCGGCGTTCCTCAGGTTTGAAGAACGTTTGCGTAAAGCTCCGTTTTCTTGACGGATTAGTGTGGACGGAAGGCCAAACCGTAGAAATAAAGCTCCGTTTTCAAATTCCTCTGGCGTAGTGCGGACGAAGCCGTAATTTTTTCAACTAAACACCTTGTGTAGTTTTGATACATTAGCTTGACTCATGATTCAACCCTGACCTAAACACATTCTTGTGAATGTATTTTTTTTCCTCCACTGATCTTCAGCATGCAGCGTCTTATCAACAATGCATGTCTTTTCACGTTTGTAGATTCACCCATAGGAGAAAGGCGAGACTCACTTCACTCAATAATAATAGCAGCCATGTTCTGTATACGCACTTTCAATATGTTGATCAGCATTCAAATGACAGCTTAGCGTATTTCAAAAATCACAGCATGATGTGAAAGTAAAAAGTACTCGTCATTTTCGGCATAATGTGTTTTGACAACAATATACACCATGCAACTTAGGTCCAAATAACCCTATCCCTCCTATCCATCTTTTCCATTGTGCATATCACGGTTTGCAATCTAAAGTCATCAGTCTAGGGTAGTGTTGTGCTTACACGTGCTCCTTTCAATTTCATGCATCTGCATTAGGTTATGTTTACAAGTGCCAGAAGCATTGTATCAGACATAAATTTTAGAAAATAACCTGTGAATCTGCCATTGTTTTACAGGACAGTGATAGGAAGCAGACTAATTCTGCAAAAGCTAGCTCCGCTCCTAAGAAGGCAACTCCGTCAACTAATAGGAAAGCGGTACGTTGTGTATTTCTTTGTTGGTTTGATTTACAGTCGAACCTCCACTAACGGCCACCTGTATACAACGGCCACTATTTTTTGTCCGGTGGAAAGTCCACACACACTCTTCAATACTCAATTTTTGTTATTAAAAGCATATATTTTTGATATTCCACAGTCAAATCAAACCCCTCGTCGAGGAAATGTAGCCAATAACATGGCGCCACCGTCACCCAGCGCACGAGATTCCCACAGCCCCTCCAGGGGCTCACCCTCTAGCAGCAGCAAGTCGGTCCCAGGCTATATGCAACCTACAAGAAGTTCAGGTGCTAGCAAGGGGTCTGGGACCCCAAGAGCCAGAAAGGGGTCGGAAAAGAAAAGATGATGCAGGCGATCATTTATTAGAGACTATTTTTTGACGATTGAATAGAGGCAGTAACCTTTTTATAGAAATTTCACATTCATTGCAAATATCGAGACTGTGAATTCGCCATCTCAGCTCGGAATGAAGATTCTCCTTACCAAGTTCCATAGATTCCTTTAATGGTAGTTCTGAGAATTTAGGGTCACATCAAGGTAATGTTCTCTAGTTTGTGAATTTCTTCGTCGTTGTCCTGCACCTGCTTGCTTGTCAGTGTAGTTATCGCAAGCAGAACCGAGAGCGATAAATTCCTGCCTTTGATAGCCTGTGCAGAAATGGAGCTAGCGAAGATGATGTGACTGTACGATTTGTCAAGTTTCATTGTTTTGTTGGAGTCATGCTTGACCAAACGTTCCCCACTGATCGTTGTGCCCACTTACAGGGTTCCTGCAATCATGAGGAAGGATCTTGTGACTGATAAACCAGATACACAGGGTCGATCTAGACCTCTTAAAACTGATGGTACGGTTAAATAATCCAGTTTAATCGACTGAATCTTCGTACAGACACATTTGGCTTCTCCATGTCCAACGGTAGATTGAGCGGTTTTCGATTGAGTGTCGAAAGTAATCAGACAATTACTTTAGTTTTGGTTTTGGTTTTACTTCAGTTTTAGATTGGCTTAGTAGTCTAATTGGTAAGTAATTGGTTTGGTTTTGGTTTTACGACACTCAATTGAAAACCGCTCTATAGTGGTGTTACAAATTCGAAATCAGATGTGGTATTTAAGGCTATTTAGAACTAGATACCTCAACGCTTCACCACCAGGAATATCTTTATTGTGGCATTCAGGTTTTCGTGACCAAACGCACTTGGTAACATTGATTTTTCTTGAAAACTTTGGGGTAGATATCGCTTCCATACAGGTGCAAATGTTTCTTATTGTTTACGACTAGGTGCTCGCTAACTTCGGCAAAATTTGTTTGCTGTAACTGGTATTCTTCTGTGACATCATCTAATAATATTTCTAAGAGAATTCCCCAATTTGAAAAGAGCGTCAAAAGATACCTTGAGAGGGCAATAAGCACACTGTTATGCCTTATTGTCATTATTAAAGTACCATAAAGCTGACTTCAAACGTCGAAACTGTCATGAGTTATGCCGAACCTTTACACAATGATAATAATTACAGGCTGAACGGAACGACCGCGGTACTCGCGCAATAGGACTGCGGTTCATGCCCGACACAACCGCGCCATGTACATTTCATAGACTACGAGTAGTCCCTCTTGCGCTTAGTCCGTCGTACTCGAAAGAAAACCGCAAGAAAATGGCCCCTAGGATTTCGCGCGGCCATTTTTTTCTCGCGGTTTTCTTTCGCGTCACGCACGACGGACTAAGCGAAAGAGGGACTACTCGTAGTCTACATCTCATGACAGGTTGGACATCAGAGTTGAACCTGTGTTTATTTTCATTGTATTTGCAGTATGTATATATTTATATTAGATAATTTGTCTTATTTTATGAAGAGCATGAAGAGATAAAAAGTAGCTCTTTAAGGACTGTACAGAATATTGTTTCACAGAGAATTCTGTAATTTATAGGGTTTCCCATTCGGCTTATTTTCATACGGCCAATTTTAATTCCTTTTGTTTTTCAATCTCAAATACTTCGAATATTCCAGTGTGAGCAGTAGCATGATAATAAACTTACAGGTCTCCAAGCTGGTTGTGGTCAAATTTTGTAACATCCCTATATTTGTCATGTCGACTTGTGTTCCGTGTATGGGAAAATTATGTTATGACTTTAAGCCACTAGGAACTATTTCTTGCAAATGTACTCCGTTTTCAACGGGATCTTTTGACTTGACCAGCTTATTCAAATCTATCCTGCGGGCAAGTAATCAGCTCCCTTGGTAGCTCTTCTCTTTCCACCCCCTATTCCAACAAAACTGGTCCGCACACTATTCGTCTAAGATGACTAATTTACTTTAAATGTTTTTATTCGCCCTAGACGAATTATTCCTATCAGACAACTTATTCGCCTGAGACGTTTTATTCGTTTTATTCCTTTTATACTTGAGACCTTCGTGGTTTAGACGTTTTATTCCTCTGAGAGGCATTCTTCGTCATAGACATTTTATTCGTCTTAGACGTTTTATTCGCCTGAGACGAATTTTTCGTCTTAGACATTTTATTCCTGCCAGTTAAGACCTTTGTGCTTTAGACGTTTTATTCGTCTTAGACGTTTTATTCGTCTGAGACGTTTTATTCGTCTTAGACGTTTCATTCGTCTTAGACGTTTTTCCGTCTTAGACGTTTTATTCGTCTTAGACGTTTTATTCTTCTTAGACGTTTTATTCGTCTTAGACGTTTTATTCTTAGACGATTTATTCGTCTGAGTCGAATGATTGGTGTTGGAGGTGTTTTCCGTCTGAAACATTTTACTCGCCTTAGACGTTTCATTCGTCTTAGACGTTTTATTCGTCTTAGACGTTTCATTCGTCTTAGACGTTTCATTCGTCTTAGACGTTTCATTCGTCTTAGACGTTTTATTCGTCTTAAACGAATTATTCGTCTTAGACGTTTTATTCGTCTGAGACGTTTTATTCGTCTTAGACATTTCATTCGTCCTAGACGTTTTATTGTTCTTAGACGTTTTATTCTTAGACGTTTTATTCGTCTTAGACGTTTTATTCTTCTTAGACGTTTTATTCTTAGACGTCTGAGACGTTTTCTTCGTCTAAGACGTTTCATTCGACTTAGACGAATTATTCGTCTTAGACGTTTTATTTGTCTTAGACGTTTTATTCGTCTTAGACGAATTATTCGTCTTTGACGTTTTATTCGTTTTATTCTGAGACGTTTTATTCGTCGGAGACGCGTTATTTGTCTTAGACGTTTTCCTCGTCTTAGACGTTTTATTCCTCTGAGAAGTTTTATTTGTCTAAGACGTTTCATTCGACTTAGACCAATTATTTATCTTACACGTTTTATTCGTCTGAGACGATTTATTTGTCTTTGACGTTACATTCGTCTTAGACGTTTTATTCGTCTTAGACGTTTTATTCGTCTTAGACGTTTTATTCGTCTAAGACGTTTTATTCGTCTGAGACGTTTCATTCGTCTTAGACGAATTATTGCTCTTTGACGTTTTATTCGTCTTAGACGTTTCTTTCGTCTGAGACGTTTTTTCGTCTTAGACGTTTTAATCGTCTGAGACGTTTTATTCGTCTGAGACGTTTTATTCATCTTGGACGTTTTATTCGTCTTAGACGTTTTATTCGTCTAAGACGAGTTATTTATCTTAGATGTTTTGCTCGTCTCAGACGTTTTATTCGTCTGAGACGTTTTTTCGTCTTAGAAGAATTATTCGTCTTAGAGGTTTTACTCGTGTTAGACGTTTTGTAATGAACACTGTATCGAGGCTTCTCTAACTAAGTGAGTAATCTTGACTCTTTCTGATTCGCCAATTTGTTGCTTAGCAATGACGTCATTAGTTTTTACAGGTGGACGTATATAGATAGTGTTAGCGGCATATTCCCGCTAGTAGTTCAAGTTTCAGCTATCGTGCACAGTACGTGTTTTTAAGTAAATTAAGTTTTAAGCTATCCTTGAATATTTAGAGTGCAAGCGGGAACCGATGCTTAAGTACAGACTATTTTCTATGCTTGCTTTTTAGTATAAGTTTCAAGTTTTGACGTTTTTTAACCTTAAGTACCTTTAGTCTCAGTTTTTATACAACAGCCTATTGTTCAAGTCCAACACGTGGCAGCAGAGCCCCAGTTTTCAAAGTTTTTATTTCATCTTGTTTTAGTGATAGATCTTTATAGTGTATACTCCCCTAAGTTAGGTTTCTATTTAGCAACTTCCTATAAGAATCTTTGGTAATTCAGTTAAAGTCCTTTCCTTGCTAGTAAATTCCCACATCGCTTTCAGTGGCGCTCACGCAAGCA